TAGTAGATATCTAAATGTTATGCACAAATTTACTTTAAAAGAACTAGCGTGAAACTGACTTATTATTTGAGAATTTATCTAAATTATTCCAATTATAAAATTGTGATGTAGCTTTATTCGAATTGTAATACGCATTTAATTTCATCTTCCGATTAAAATGGATCGATCTTTGTAAATTTTAATTGGAGATTATTCAACAATATCAAAATAATCCTCTACCAACTTAATTTTTACATATTTCGTCTGTTTTAACTTAATTTGATGAAATACTTCTTCCTAGTTACGAGTTAGTTGCAGCTGCAGCCGAAACTAAATTTTAAGTTGGTACTTAGCCAGAAAAGTTGAAACTAAGGCGACTATGAATAGCTTTAGTTGTGACTTAGAATAGTTTCGACTTAGTTGAGTACTAAATATGACTATGAATATGCGCCATGGTTTTCAAGTAGTCTTTAGAATATGTAATTCAGTGAAATTCTATGCTGCGTAAAAGATTAAAAAAAAAATTTGGAAAATTGTGCGAGTTATACAACACGAAAATGTTGGCTGTGAATATTTTTCATATTTCATATTTTTGAACAATTAAATAAAAAAAATAAAATTGTCACCAAAAAAATGCCAAAAAACGTATAAAAAATGTCTTGAATCGATATTTGGTAATTTTTGGACCATTTACTGAATTTTTTTTTACCGTATACGTAAATTCTTTGTCATTGGAAAAATTTTGCGTTCAAACTACGCATAACTAAATAAATACGAGTTGGGCTAAGTGCTTGCCGAGAATTCAATTTCTAAGCTGTTTGGGAGAAAAGTCTTTGAAACGGAACAGATGTGGGGTATATTGGTATTGGCCCAGGCAGCTAGTGGATTCGGATTTTCCACACGACTAATGATTGCGCTATTTAAATAATGTCTCATCTCGAGGACACCAGCAACATCTTGATCGGTGTTAAAAAATTTTTGCGTTACGGATTAGTGAAATTCAAACCAAATACTGTCTGTTCATGTTTATGTCACTCACGTTCACTCTTGGAAAACAACTTTCTGGCATGTAAAAAAAACAGCTACATACTACTTACTTCATTATCTATTGAAGATTCTGGAGACAAATGGATTAACAATATTACTTTCATCCGCAAAAGAAGGTCGAACCTTTTTTAAATTCGTAAAAATTTGTTTTTGTATAATAATTTTATGCGCTACTCTTAAGTGATTTGAAAGTGCCGTTGTACTGTTATAAAAATTCATTTCTCTACCACATTTTTTACATTTCGCTTTAGTTTTGTTAGCATTTTTTTTTTTAATAACACAAAATAGCACTCGGCGCCATTGTTAAAAGAAAAGTTTTAAATTAAGTGGTGTTAGTGCGAATAAATTAAAAAAAGGGTAGAGGCGACAGCGAAAAGTCGACTTGAGTCGACTTCCATAAGTTGAAACTCGATCACTAAAAGTCGTAAAATTACAATGCAGTAAATATGCTAAGCACAATTTAAAATGCTTTTACTTAAAACGGGTTAAGATTATATGAAAGTTCGGCAACAGCTTTGCAACTTTCGTACACTGAAAGCTCCGTTGCGACGTCAACGATCGAATATGATTCATATAGAACTTCCTAGACGCTTTGCAAATGCAATTCGCATCCATTATATGAAGCAGCGAGCAAAGAATTATATACATATGTACACTGAGGGAAAAAATTATTGAAAACAATCAGAAATGTAATTGATCTTACAATAAACGTAAACGAAAGTACTGTAGATATATTGGTAAATATTCAATTTTAGCGTTCGTTCTGAAAAAGCATCAGCGAAGTAAATAATCAAGATTGGAAAAAATATATTTAATTTTCATGTTGCCTGCAATGGAATTCGGACCCTGACCCTCACTGGATATCAACAAATCGTGACAAGCATCTTTACGCACTCAGCTACAGCCTGCATATATTTTCAACTACTTTAAAAGGAGTTTGGCTTAAACAACTTCAAAGTCAGTATGTTTCGTTTGAATGCACTTGCTTTCTGCACTTCACATGATTTTCATATTTAAAAGACACAAAAAGAAAACATTATCATTTGCAAATGTTGCCTCGGTTGGGACGTGAACCCGGAACTTCTGGAAGCTAACAAGTAACAGCGTGCACTTCTGCACGCTCAGCTACAGCCAGACATCTAAATGTGCTTTCAAATGCTCAGTTTGTATTGTGTGCTTGCAGCATGTTGACTGTCCGACTCTGCATTTAATTTCAACTACTTTAAAATGAATTTGGTTTAAACAACTTCAAAGTCAGTAAATATGTTTCTTTTACATACGCTTGCGTTCTGTACTTCACAGAAGCTTCTTTATACTTCCAATACACAAATTGTTTCTTTGAGTAAAAAGATAATCAAAATTCGAAACATTTACTCATTGCATTTGTTTTAAAGTAGTCTTTAAATTAGTTGATTTAAAAGCAAATCACTTGCTTCCGTCAGGTTATGTACACTTACATAAACATGGTCAGATGTGAAGATTGAAATACATGAGCGCGTGCTAAACTTTTGTATGAAAATATAATTTTTAAATACGAACATTTTTAAATGAAAATCAAATATAAAGTATTCATCTTTACTATGCATCATTTTCCTCAGTGTAGGTACATACATTTTACTTTTAAATATATGTATATACATAAACATACATATATTTGTTTAGTTTAAAATAAACAGTGAACAATACAAGCACACACTTTGCTCTACACGTAAACTCACATACATAAATATGTACACAATTTGTTTGTAGTATCTTACATTAATTATACTTATTTTAAAGATACTAATACCAAGTTATTGATCAAATATTTTTTTATTCAAGCTTGCGCTATCAACTTATAAACTAAGCGCAACAAAAAAAAAATATTTGAAATCTAGTTACTGATAAATTTTAGTTACGATAACTATTTAATAATAATTATAATCGTGGTAATAAAAAAATTGCTTTACTTTGGTAAAAGTCATTATTTGTTCGGTATACTCAAACAATAATAGCTCTGCAAGCACACTCAAAAGCTTTCACGCACTTTTGCTGAGCTTTTAATGCGCTTAAATATATTTGGGTTTAAAAATTTTACCTTACATAGAAAAAAACCGAAATACAATTACGACTAAAAGGCGAAAATTATGCATAAGCTCTTAAAGAATTTGTTTATAATATTTACTTATTTGTTTGTTTTTTGTTTTTTTTTCTTTTTATGTTGAAGATATTTTTTATGCGTGTATTAAAGCAGCATTGGAGGCGTTGTAAGAACTAATGCGTTGAACACGTAAAGGAGTATGTTGTGTTGCCAACATGAAATTAACAACTACTTAATTTTAATAAAAAATTTTTTTTATTCATATTTTTATTTGCACGCCAGCAAAATGGAAACTACTCAACTTGTTTGAAAATTAGCCTAAACTTAGTTGTGTGAAATGAAATCGAAAAATTAGTAAAATAATTTCCTTACATAATTTACATACACATCTTATGCATGTACATATGTTTGTAATTAAATTTATTTGTGTGTGCTGCGCGTAAAGTTTACTCAAATGCAATTTTGTTAGGTTTTTGTGTGCGTTTTTAAATTATATTTCTTATTATTTTCTAAGTTAAACTTTTCTTATTTTTTAGCATTTTTTGCATGTTGATGGCACAATATCATTACATTTTTCATTTGTCAAGGTTTTTTTTCTTATTTTAGTTTCATTTTCTTATAATCTATTTTTTTTTCTATTCAAACTAACTTTAGTGTGTATGTTTTTGTTTTTTGTAGTTTTTTTGTTTAATTCTCTGCTTTGTTTTTCCTCATTTTCTATAGTAAATCTGCTGTGTACTGCTTCTCAGCAAGTCTCAATACATTTGCACTTTAGCTTTCTGAATGCTACGTATCCTGTTTATGCACCTTTCACTCATTTACTTTCGATATCCTTCCATGGCCTTTTTTTGAAATGTTATTTACATGTGACGCTTCATATGCAACGCCAAGTGATCAGAACGCGAAAAACAACGATCGCAGTTACGGCATTTAAATGGTTTAGCACCCGTATGTTTGCGATAATGGCGCGTCAACTCGTCGCTGCGTGCAAAACGCCATTCACATCCTTCCCAGGAGCATTTGTACGGTTTTTCGCCTGTAACGGGATAAGAAGAAAGGTGGAAACAAAATAAGTAAAATTAGTATAAACATAATATGCATTTAGATAATTGGTTAAAATAAATAAATATGTACAAATACATATACAAAGCATTGTACACTCAGAAAAAAGCATTTCCTTAAAACTTAAAACAAGAAACCAGTTTCCTTATTTAAGAGTGTTTCGTCCTTAATATTACGAAAAATTTACTCAATTTGAGAAGTCTTTCCTTAATTCAGGTTCATGCTCGAAATAGTGCGTCATTAATTTGTGGAAGTAAATATCACTAAGTAATAATTTCCTTAAATAATTTTGAATTTTGTCAGTGCTGTTAACACAAAGTTAATTGCTTTCCTGGCAAATGTCGGCTATGGCGTCGCGTGAAGACTACTGCTTCTGGTTCTGAGATCGCAGGTTCGAGTCCGATTGGAGGTGGCTAGAGTAAGGTAAGTCAATTATTTTAATTTAAATATGCATAGAATAATATATTTTTCCTAGAATCAAGGAAATTTTTTTCTGTGTATATATATCTATGCATGTTCATATTTATAAACTAATCGGGCAGATATGTTTTTGTAAATTTATTTACAAAATTTAAAAGTCAGCGGTTTTTGCAATTCAATCGGGTTGAACTTCACTCGAAAGTGAATTGCAGGACCTTCCTGCAAGCAAGTTTTATCTATCAAATCTGTAAGCTTCAAATATATATATATATTTTTTTTTGTATGTATCAATGTTTAAAACGCAGCCCTTGAGAAAAGCTTTTTTTAAGTTTGCTATGATCATTAAGCTCTCATGCTGAGCTACTCTACATATCCAAAATCTATATGAGTTTTACAAAAGCTCTGCACGAATGTCTATGAAACAGCAATGGGCAGAGAGAGCTTTAACTCTACACGCGACTATGCAAAATATATAGAAAGCTTAAAAGAGCTTTGCCAGTGGGCAAGGAGGTGCCCATAACCGCTATGAAATGAAATCTCCGATAGAAACGCGAACAGCGTGAAAGCTGTTTATGATCGTATGCTGCTAAAATGTCTCTCTGTTAAACCGTTCAACTGCTGTAACTGCGATCATTGTTTATTATATATACCTGAAACTGCTTCAAAAGAAATAGTTTTTCCATCGGGCCCGGGCTTTCAAAGGGACCCGGATTGAAAATTGTGCTGGAAAATAAATAATATATATTTTTAAAATTTGATAGATTCTATATGCAAAGCTCTCTTCTGAGGGTCCAAATTATTGGGAGGGTATACAAAAAAACACCTTTTAAAAGTATTGATTACACAGGCCAACTAAAATGGAAACATAGTTTGGTACGGAAAATGTTAAGGCTGTTTTCGAGACTTTTTCGAGCTGACTAAGAATCCGTAAGTACAAAGTTTCCATCAGCTCCAGAGTTTCAAAGAAATGAGAGTCTATCTTGATGCCATATTAGAGACTCTGCTTACACCGATTTGTAGCTCTGATAAAGCACTCAAAATCGCAAAATGGCACAATCCAGTTCAGCGAGGCAGTAAAAAAATAGTAGAGGAATGAGCCCTCGCCAATGCGGGACAAAGGATACAAACACGGTAGCTAGAAACGTGATAGACTGCCTGCATACCCATTCTAAAAGTGTGCGAGATTTCCATTTTGAAAATGAAGCAATGTCTCTAGGTCTTTAATCGACGTTGAGGGTAAAACCCTGATATCATCATGCCCGTCACCCGTTGAGTGTATGCAAATAGCATTTAAAAATATTTTTATTTAAAGTAACATTGGATTCCAGAGCTTTGCTAGTGGTGTGTATAAATCTTGCAATGACTAACAAATTAAATAACAACTTTACTAGTCATACTAAAACTTACTACACTACAACTCGTCTACACAGCGAAAGTATATTAAAATATAATTTTAAAACTTGCTGTGCGCATTTTTTTATTTTTCCTCCCACTCCATAGCTTACGAGTGGAGCATGCAAAAAAATAAAGCTTCATTTGAAAAGTATGAATGTTAAATAGAAAACTAAATTTTCTTACAACACAAAATTAAGAAACTTTTCGCATTTCGCTAAGAAAATATGCGCAAGAATAAACAAGGAACAATGAGAGAAGTTACAGTTTCTACTTCAGTACGTCCAAGTAGTGCGCTAACAAATAGTTCACAAGCAGTAAACAAAACAAATATTGAAAATAAGAAGCAATAGCAACAATAGCAATAGCGGCATAGCTGCACAGCTCACAAGTAACGACAAAGTAAATGAAAATTAAAATTTTGTAAAAGATGCCGAACAACTGTGAAACAATTAAAGAAAACAAAAGAATTATTATTATTTACAAGAAAGTCAAATACGGGTATTCAAAAAAATTTAAATACGAAGTTAATATCCCTGCAGTAAATCGCGCTAGTTCAGAACTAGCGTAGAACTAGCTCTTTAAGAGGCGGTACTGGTTCTCGATCTATGCCAACGCAATGCTTTCGACTGTCTCTTTTTACATGGCGATGTCCTACGAAGTGGAAATTGCCACCTCTGCAGAACTTTCGAACTAGTTCTGAACTGGTTCCATTTTCGACAGTTCTGGGACGATTAGTTTTTTATGTGAACAAATTTTAAAACTAGATTACTGATTATTTTTTCTTTTCTAAACTGTTTCCATATTGGAGAGATTTTGATTAGTTATTCGATTTTTTGAAATTTTTTTAATTTTTTCCGTTCTTTTACAGATTGTGGTTTTCCTTAATTTGTTTTATCCTTTTATTTTATTTATATTAAATTTGATAATTTTCTATTCAATTTTGAAGCGACACTCAACAATTTAAATGTATTAAATGATTTAATTTAAATCTGAAAATCACAACTTCCCCCACCGCGATTTGAACTCGCGACCAATTAAGTCGGAGGTCTTCCCGCTGAGCTATTTTATTATTGTACGTAGTGTTCGTCCGACACCACCATGTACTTGATGCCTGTACTCATTGAAAGTATTGAAGAGAATACTCAATGCTACTCAAAGTATCTCGAGGAAATACTCGATTCAACTTGTACTCGAAAGTACTCACACAAGAAATTTTAACTCGATGCCCGTTTATAAAATAACGACATAGTACAGTGGAGAAAGGCTTATGAAGAGCTGAATATGCCTTTTGATATCCTTCTATTTTGAAATGGAGTTACTTGGAAGTGCTGATATAGGAGATGATAAGTAATGAGAAAGCTCATTGTTTACTCGTGTTTGATTTTTCGGTTTCAAAACGATCTAATTATAGACGACGCTTCCGCAAATCATAGGCTGGCTGCACAACCTCCTCTAATTCGATACGATTTTCACATATTGAATCGTTTCTTTCAAAAACTACAACACAGATCTATTTTTAGTTGATTGCACTTTGTACTCAATACCCATGACGTAGTTGTAAACGCGTATCGAATTACAAAAAATACTCGGTAATTGGTAGAGGTATTCGAGTACATGGTATCGTAACATCACTAATTGTACGAGAAGTGAGAATTTGTGCATATGCTTCTCAACAGAGCGCAACTAGCACACCAAAAAATTTAACTGTCACTCTGCTAGTTCAGAGATAGTTCTGAAATGTATAGGGCGGAACTAGCGCTTTAAGAGACTGTCTCTAAATTTTTACTACGTACATACATACGTACAAACAAATATATAGTGTTTATGTATGGAGTATAATTATAATGCAGTTCGGAGTTGGAAAAGTAAAGTTAATGTTTATATTAAGTGAAAGATCTCAAAGTAGATGATCACAGCCTAGAATGAACACTTTGTACGGTGCATGTATGTAGATATGTATGTATATAGTTTACATACGCATGTAAATATGTTTAAAAAAAAGTCACTTTGGTAAACAATATCGATGCTTCTGATTTTAGTTATATTTGATTATGTCGAACCAATTACAGTATGTTCCCCTTGCTGCTGCAAAGGGTATGCTGATGATCTCGGCTTGCAGGGCTAGTGTCCGGTGCAGATTGGCGTGAGTTTTTATGTAACGCTTATTTTGAAATATAGGCATATTTTTTTGCCATGCAAATCATTTAGTATGACTTAAATTTCACTGATATTTCTGGTAAGTTTATTGACTTCATTTTTTATTGTGTGCCGGTTATGTGCCTCTGTGGAATTCTCTTTCTACTTCCGCTACGCACTGAAACAGCCTGCAACTTCCGGCGATGCATGAGCAAAGCACAGGTTACAGCAGAAAAAGAAAGGAGTATCGTTTAGGCGTTTGAGCAGAGCAAACAAACAAATACAAAAGTAAAGGAAGCGTAAATTACTTTTATATGCGCCCTTGGAGTGTTGAAAATTTTATAAAGTGGCTACGTGTAGTAAGCAAAAATTTCAGGCTGTAATAAATAGTGTTAAAAATACATTTGTATTTTTAAGAAAAATTATTTAAATTAAGTAGGACTCTTTATGCCCTTTAAAGTTCTTTTTGTTTTTAGAGAAAAAAATGTCAGTCTTTATCAAAGCGAGGTTTACAGTTTTCCAGATAAGAAAGTTTAAGAAATGCAATTAAATTTCGAATGAAGATTTCTTTAGTTGTAGATGCGAAAAAGAGTGCAACTCACAATAAAATAAAACTAGTTTATGCGTTTTTAACACAACTACAAAAAACAAAGGTGTAGTAGACAATGAAAAAACACAACAAAAGAAGCAGAGCTCTTCGTGGTCTGCTAAATTCTCGCTACACACCATGATTCGCACTTAGACGCCACTTTGTAAGCCACTTGCAACATGCCAGCAACAATTACCACAACTCAACGAACCCACGCTTGAAATGTCGACAATTTTGTTCATTGGTTTTTGGCCATTTCAATTACTTAAGCGTCGAAGCGGCTATAAAAATGCCAAAAAGGAGAATCGTTGGAAAAAGATTACAAATGTAGTCAAGTGAAAGGACACAAACAGACCATAAAAATGGAAAATTTCTGCAACAGTAAACGAATGACAAACGTACATACAAGATGTTTGTTGCTTTTGCTATTGTAC